ATCTGGTTTTTGATAATAAAGCTCCCGCTTCCTTTGGGAATAAAGTGGAGGATGTCCTGGTTAGTTTTGATTGATCACCCTTTTCTGATGGACTTTCACTACCGAGCTGGGAGGCAGTAACTGAGACTGCTTCTCAGACTCACCATTAACCAGGGGTGCACTGACTTCCTGCCTCCTCTTCCTCCCCTGCTTCCCTCCACTGCGGCTCTCTGCCCTCCCTTTGCCAAGCCCCCCCCCCATCCCCCTGCTCCCAGCAGGAATCCCCCCACCACAATCCCAGACAAGCACACACGGGTCACCACATCAGCCCTGGCTACAGAAAGGGGGCAACTTCCCCTCTGGTCCTGATTCTCTGGGGGGAGGGAACCAAAACAAAAAATATGTATAATACTGCGTGCTTTATAATCATTTTTTTCTAGGGCTTTCCCTCACAACCAACAATTAAAATTAATAGCACTCTCCTCCCCCACCCCCCCCTAAAGTGAAATGCCTCACTATGGGGGAGCTTTGGAATGAGTCCCATCTTTTTATGTAATATTTTAGCAGGGTTGACTTTTTTTACTCTCCCCCAGCACACTTTCCCTTCCTTCCTTCAAAACAGTTGCTCTGTGAACCCTCTCTTGTCCCAAGCCATGAAAATAAGCTCCCAAACCTACAAGAGCATAAACAAACCGGAAAAGGGGGGAGAAAGAGAGAAAGCAGGTAACGAAAATGAAAAGGACTTACCGAACAAACTTCCAGGGTTAGATTTTAAAATAAAAGAAGATGTTTTATTATTTTTTAAAGGTGCCTGGGGGGGGGGAGGCATATTCTCAACTCCCCAGAACCGATGCATCCTTAGTCTTCCCTTTACACTGACTCTTCTAAACCAGGCTCTCCACCAGTCTATTATTTTCACCAAAATATATGAAAATGTATGCAAATGAAAATCAGCACTAACTGTTCTCCCCTTGTTATATACTTTGGATTTTTTTTTTTCCAGACAAAACAATCACACTCGGCATAGGGAGGGGGCGGATGGGGTGGGGCTGGGTGGTGGGGGGGGAGGCTGGGGAGCGACTCGAAAACTAAGTACGCGCGGAAAGGGGGGAGGACGAAAGGGACAGACCTCGGAACAGAAGTGTATTTCTCTTATCGAGGAGCACAGCGTTTTGGGGGGCTTCCCATATGCACACACACCCTCCTTGAAAAGAAAGAAAGTGGATCTGTTTGCAGAGGCGCTATCACGTTTCATCAGGCCACCTGAGACTGCTTTTGAAAGCGTGTACTGTGAAATTCATAGCAGTAATTTAGACAAAATCCTCACTGTATATTAATGAAAGGCGGCCCCATGGCTCTGTTCCTATCCTCCCCATTCAGTGTAAACAAAACCACGAGACTCTCTCGGTTTTTGAGCCGGATCCAAGCAAAATCGGCAGGAAAGGAAAACACGGGTGCTGGCACCGACTATTGAAACGTCTGCACCTGGAGATCTCAGATTTATTCAATGAAATCTGTGTTCCATCTTTTATATATACATATACACATACATAAATATTTTTTTTAAAAAAGGAATCTTAGGGGGACGTAGAGGGGGGAAAAATCCGTTCTGTTTGGGGTTTGGTTACCGCTGCCTTTCAGAGCTGTACCTTAGCAGTAATGGCTTTGCTAAAAACCTACCTACGACGGTCTCTCTCACCCGGCAAGCAGGAGCTGGACGAGATCTTAAAACAAATCCTACGCGTCTACAGTTAATCTCGAGATCATGCAAAGGCGTAGCTTGCGGCTGGGCTGGAGAGCTCTGGCTTTAACTGAGTTCACCTAACTGCGTTCAGCCAGAGGAATGATTCCTCGGGAGAGGGCAGCCGGGTTCACAGATTAATCGGAGCACACCGGCGGCTCCGCGACTACCTCCAGGGCCGCCGCTCGGCGGCGGGCGCCGCTGGAGCTCAGGACTGCCGGCTGGAGCAGCGGGCTGGGGGCGGCGGGCGCAGGGCTGGCGCACCCGCAGCCAGGGGTGCGGGGTGCACGCCCGCGCACACTCATTAGGAACGATGTATTTATTGAATGTCCGAGTTGGGTTAGTTCATTGGAAATCCCCGAGGAGGGTTCAATTTGCCCTTGTTTTCGTTGCCACTTTCTCTTTTTTCTTGGTTCGCTGAGGTTCCTCTGTGCAGCGTTTCCGCTTGGCCGCGTCCCCCCACCCCCGCTTCTCCCGCCTACCCTGCGCGCGCCCCCTCCCGTCCCCCTTAACTCTTTCAGCGGGGCTGGGGTTGAGAAAGCGTTCGTCGCCGCCAGCCCATTCACTACGTAAACCCATCTGAAACAGAAAAGAAAGAAAAAGCACCACTGTGTCTAAGAATAGCGAGCAAGCAAAACACCACTAATAACCATAGAGGGGGAAATACACACACACACACGCACACACACACACACACACACACACATATATATATACATATACACACACACGCACAATGTAAGCGGTGGAGGGCGTGGATCCTGGTTCTTTAGGCCGGCTCCCACTGCAGTGGGAATCCCCGGAGCCTTTGGGGTGGAATACACTTACGATGGATCTATGGGGAAAGGTCGAGCTGATTGCTTTTCAAATACATCGCAGGGCTCTGCTGACCGGCACCCTCCAAACACACAAGGACACGCTCGCTACTTGCTTGAATCCCAGAGGAGGGGGGAGGGAAGAAGGGAGGGAGAGCGCAGAGGCAGAGAGGGGGTGGGGGAGAGAGCGAGCCGCGGCAGCGAGCGGTCCGTCTCGCACGCGCGGGCACCGCGCTGGTCCTGGGCTGCAGGTTTCCCAGATGATGGCATCCGAGAACTTAAACAAAGGGGGACGCCGCCGGCGCAAAGCGGCTGCGGAAAGTTGCGGTGGCGGATTTCCAAGGAGCGTGGCCACGACCCGAGCCCTTGGCGATGCGAGCTCTCCCTTTCCACCCCCGCCGAGACAGAGATGGGGGCCGGCTGGTGAAGGAAAAAGGAAACTTTGAAACCACTGGGGATACATCTGCCTATAGGTATTAGCGTGAATGGTGCATCCATGCCGCGCGCTTAACAAATTTCTGGGATGGGGGTGGGGGCGGGGAGGGCGGCTACACAACGCAGTACTAGGTGAAGTGGGTAGGTTGCTATTTTTCATGATTTTTCCCCCTCTTCATTTTCCTTCTGATTCTAACTCTCCCCCCCCCCCCCTCCCCGCCACCTCCTTTCTCCCATCCCTCCCTCCCTTTTCTCTCCCCTTTCATCCCCCTTCCCAGACTGGTAGCGAACGCCCCGAGCCGCGGAGAGAACGCCAACCTCTCGGCCGGACACTAAGAGTTAAGATGTGGCGGAGGGGGTGGAGGGGGAGGGGCGGAGAGGAGAAAGTGGCCAGGGGGAGGGAGGCTGGGCGGGGGGGGTTGGGGGGACGACAGATTTCCAGCTTCTACGACGCTCTGCCTAAATTAAAAAGCAACCAATCGGAACGGCCGGAAGGGGGGCCGCGCGTCCTGAGCCAGTCATTCTGGGCCTGCCAATCACCCAGCGGGTAGCCAATCAGCGGGGGCCCTGGTGCTCGACTTCCTTGTATTTGGGAAAGTGTGGTGGTGGGTGCGCGCTCGCGGCGGAGGGTAAACATTCGACAGTCCCTGCTCTGAGAGGGAGGGACAGAGAGCGAACTGTCAGATCCTAGCGAGAGCGGGCGGGCGAGAGAGGGAGAGGGAGTGAGAGAGAGAGAGGGAGGGAGAGGGAAAGTGAGAGAGGGAGAGAGAGCGCGAACGAGGGCGCAGAGCGAGCTCCCGCTGCAACTCCGCTTCGGCTCGGCCAGCGCCAGCGCCGTCGGTGCACTCTACGAGCCGTGCAACGTGCCCACTGGAGTTGGTTGTGTATCAAGGATCCCCTATATGCACACACACACCTCCACCTCCACCAATGCACTCTTCTTCCTCCTCCTCCTCCAGACAACTGCTGGGAAAAAAATAAAACACCAGCCCCAACCGTCAGCAACAAGGTAACAGAGCCATTCGACCTCATTTTTCTACTGTTCAATTTTTTCCTTGTTATATTTGTTTCCTAATTTCTGCCCAAAAGGAAAGATGTCGCATCAGACTGTGACTGTTGCGAGGAGAATGAAAAAGGACTCTTGTTTCAGAGGCAACCAAGAGCTCCGGCAATAGCAACTTCAGAGAAATGCACCATCGCAAGAAGTTTTCCTAGGACAGAACAAAACTTGAAACGAAAGGACCAGAGGAGGAGAGCAGGAGCCAGCCTCTCCTCTCCGCACACGCGAGCAGCCAGCATCACCACGCCTTCAAGGACGAAAAAAAAAGTTTTACTACTCGAAAGGAAACCGAGTGAAATGTGTTCCTGAGGAGGAGAGAAGAGAGCGGGCGAGGGGAAGGAGCAGTCCGGTTGCTGGTCATCCATAATTTGTTTAAGGAAGAAAGGAACGGCTGCTTTCTTTGTTGTCTCCCGTGAAATCTTCACTTAGCAGGTGGACTGAGCCCCGCGCCCAGGCAGAGTCCTCACTCGCCTGAGGACAGCAGGAGGAGCCGGAGCCGGCGCGCCCCGCCAAAGAGCCCGGAGCGCAGGCCCGCGCCCCGCCCGGTGAGCCCCGCTGGAGCGAGCGGAACGCGCCGGGGCTGGGGGGCGGCCACGACCCCCCCTGAAGGGGGCGGCCACGGAGCGCGCCCCGAGAAGCGAGCCCCCCTTCCCAGAGCGCTGCTCCTGCTGCTGCTGCTCCTGCTGCTGCTGACCAAGGCCGGCCGGCGACCCCCGCGCCCTGCCGAGCGGCCTTGCAGCTGCAGCCGGGGGCCGCGGCGGCGGCGGCGGCGGCGGGGGCGGAGGCGGCGGAGGAGGAGGCGGCGGCGAAGGCGGCGGGGCCGGCCCGGGCCCCGGGCGGGGGCGGGGGAGGAGGGGGGGGAGGAGGCGGGAGGCGGGGGGGCGCGGCGGCGGCGGCGGCGGCGGCCGCGGCTGCTGCTGCTGCGGCGGCGGCGGTGGTGGCGGCGGTGGGGTGGCGGGAGCGGAGCGGCATGGCCACGGCGGCTTCTAACCCCTACCTGCCGGGGAACAGCCTGCTGGCGGCCGGCTCCATTGTACACTCGGACGCGGCGGGAGCCGGCGGCGGCGGGGGTGGCGGCGGCGGGGGTGGCGGCGGCGGCGCGGGAGGCGGCGCGGGCGGCATGCAGCCCGGTAGCGCCGCCGTGACCTCGGGCGCCTACCGAGGGGACCCGTCCTCCGTCAAGATGGTCCAGAGCGACTTCATGCAGGGGGCCATGGCCGCCAGCAACGGCGGCCATATGCTAAGCCACGCGCACCAGTGGGTCACAGCCCTGCCCCACGCCGCCGCCGCCGCCGCCGCCGCCGCCGCTGCCGCCGTGGAGGCGAGCTCGCCGTGGTCCGGCAGCGCCGTGGGCATGGCCGGCAGCCCCCAACAGCCGCCGCAACCGCCGCCGCCGCCGCCGCCGCAGGGCCCCGACGTGAAGGGCGGCTCCGGACGCGACGACCTGCACGCGGGCACCGCGCTGCACCACCGCGGGCCGCCGCACCTCGGGCCCCCGCCGCCGCCCCCGCACCAGGGCCACCCGGGGGGCTGGGGGGCCGCCGCCGCCGCAGCCGCCGCAGCCGCCGCCGCCGCTGCCGCCGCACACCTCCCGTCCATGGCCGGAGGCCAGCAGCCGCCGCCTCAAAGTCTGCTCTACTCGCAGCCCGGGGGCTTCACGGTGAACGGCATGCTGAGCGCGCCCCCGGGTCCAGGCGGCGGCGGCGGCGGCGCGGGCGGTGGCGCCCAGAGCCTGGTGCACCCGGGGCTGGTGCGCGGGGACACACCCGAGCTGGCCGAGCACCACCACCACCACCACCACCACGCGCACCCTCACCCGCCTCACCCGCACCACGCGCAGGGGCCTCCGCACCATGGCGGCGGCGGCGCGGGGCCCGGACTCAACAGCCACGACCCGCACTCGGACGAGGACACGCCGACCTCGGACGACCTGGAGCAGTTCGCCAAGCAGTTTAAGCAGCGACGCATCAAACTCGGCTTCACGCAGGCCGACGTGGGGCTGGCGCTGGGCACGCTGTATGGCAACGTGTTCTCGCAGACCACCATCTGCCGCTTCGAGGCCCTGCAGCTGAGCTTCAAGAACATGTGCAAGCTCAAGCCGCTGCTGAACAAGTGGCTAGAGGAGGCGGACTCGAGCACCGGCAGCCCCACGAGCATCGACAAGATCGCGGCGCAGGGCCGCAAGCGCAAGAAGCGGACCTCCATTGAGGTGAGCGTCAAGGGTGCGCTCGAGAGCCACTTCCTCAAGTGCCCCAAGCCCTCCGCGCAGGAGATCACCAACCTGGCCGACAGCCTGCAGCTCGAGAAAGAGGTGGTGCGGGTCTGGTTCTGCAACCGGCGCCAAAAGGAGAAGCGCATGACGCCACCCGGGATCCAACAGCAGACGCCGGACGACGTCTACTCGCAGGTGGGCACCGTGAGCGCCGACACGCCGCCGCCGCACCACGGACTGCAGACGAGCGTGCAGTGAAGGCCAGGGGCGCAGCGCAAAGAGGGCCGCCGCCTCCGCAGCCGCTGTCAGCACCGCCACCAATTCCCGCCGCCGCCGCCGCCGCTGCCGCTGCCGCCGCCGCCGCCGCCGCCGCCGCCGCCGCAGCGCCAACCCCGCACTGGGGCAGCACCGGGCCCGGGCCGGTCCGCCACCCTCTCCTCCGCCCAAAGACAAACATGCCGGCCCTTGGAGGCAAAAGAGCGAGAGAGAGACAGACCAAGGAGACGTTTCTGAAGTCCAGGGAAGGAGGGGCACAACAAAACAAAAAGCGTAATAAATACCGAGACTGTTTTATATACATATATATAACAAACAAAACCGGAAGAGAAAAAGGAGGCGATCATGAGATCTCGTTTATACTGTGGTGGTGTTTCCTTTTTGTTTTTCTTTTTCTTTTTAAAGAAGGGTGAAGATGCCTAGCGCACCAAAACTGCACTCCTGAGGTTTTATCCACCCTAGAAAGTCCTACACGGCAACGGTGGACCAGCACCTAGCACCTGCCTCGTCCTCTCCTCTTAAAAAAAAAAAAAAAAAGCACCCCTCTCTCCTTTTCACTCACTCTCCCCTCCAAAGGGCTGCCTAAAGTGATCTACCGAAACTTTCTTTCCTGGGAACGACCTGAAAAAAAGCTGAGGCACCGGGTTTAATCAGGGGATGACTCTGTCCTCGGGGGCCCTGTGTTTCTTGGCCATGTTAAAGTCATTTGGGGACAAATTGACTATGAAATGGGAAGGAGAAAACAAAGAACAGTCTTCGGGAAGAAAAAAAAATGAAATATTCACAGCTTCTGAAATTAACAGACTGAATAACAAAGCCAAAAGAAAAAGTATCCTCAAAGTAACCTTGGAAATAAAGCATTACGAAAGAGCAGAGGGATGGGCGAGGGAGAAGGGGATGTCCTCCGAGGAGTGGGAGAGGCCCGGCCGAGTCCTGGGCAGGGCGGGCGCGGACTGGGCGCAGAGCGAGGCCCCGCCACCAACCCCGGCTTTAACGGCGGTCACTCGGGTGGATGAGGCCTAAAGATTCCACCGCTAATATTTTTTTTATTAATATTTTTTATTTTTTATTTCTGGACTGACTCAGATAAAGAGATTTAGAAGGACTGAGCACCAGCCGACGCACTTCTCTGGACTTCTCTCCTCAATCCGTTGCCAACTTTGATTGAATGGGTGCTGAGGTTGTGATTACATAATACTGCCATTTCCAAGCAGTGTTTTTGGTAGGTTTTAATAAACAGACTTTTCAAAAGACGGCAATATAGAATTGTTAGATCCGTTGTTGATCTAAAAATATTTGCTTTATATTTTCATTAAATGACTTCTTTTAATATTTTATTCAGAATACTTATGAACTGCTGCAAAACGGTAATTTATTTTTCCCCAGATCTTGTATTACGTGTTTTTTTCAGACGAGCACAAATCAAAATGAAATGAAAATATGGACAGTTGCTAGGTAGTAAGGGTATCTTTTGATGTGATCATTTGATTGTAATTTAATTTGAGTAGTGATTCCGTAAGAGCTGATCGAGAAAATAAATTTGTTAGAATGAACTAGTCTGTGTCTGATGCGTAAACGCTATGTGGGAAGAAAAGAGTTCTTTAGAAGATATTTTTTTACTAATGCAAGTCCTTAAGTGATAGCACTGAGGAAGCAGACCCTGCTCCACCTAAGGTATATTTGGAAATAAAGAGTAAAGGACAGACATGACAGAAACTGCTAGTACTTTAACATAGTTGTCACTCCTCGTTAATCCATAAATCTCACAACATTTTTCTCTCCCTTGGTTTCAGTGGGTGTTTTTAGTGTTTTCAGGTGAGATTGTCTAAAGACTAGTTCTTTTCTTGGAGATACCTGTGTCTTTTTATCATCTTTACCAGAAGACTGGACTACAGCACCAGTAATAATGTGCCAACTGGTTATTAATGGTTAATACAGAGCTCCCCCAACCCAAGTTTAGCCTCTCTTTCCCCTCCCGTCCCTCCAAACATACTAAGTGTCTTTCCTCTTTTTCTGAAGACTAATAGTTGTAAAGAATAGCTTACAAGTCTATAAAATATTTTTATATTAATTACTTCCCATTAATAACTATATGCAATTCAGTTTAAATTATTAAGCTGTTTTGGGGTTTTTGTTTTGTTTTGTTTATTTTTCTTGTATTGGAAGAATGTAGTTCTAATATCCTGATTATGGGCCACACTGCATTACCCTCAGTCTGATCACCAGCTCAGACTTAAGATGCCATATTTCTGTGTTCTGGTCTTTCCCCAGTATAATTCTGTATCTTCTTTACTGGTCCTGGGCTCTGAGCTTTTTTTGATCACTCTTTAGCCACACCCTGCAGAGCGGTCACATTTATCAAGTTAATGTATCAATATTTACAATGTGGGAAAATGAAAGTATAATGCCTCAGGTTGTGAGTACTACAGATGCAAAAGACTCTGCTCAGTTGAGTCCCTTTGTATTGTACTTTAAAAAAGTATTTGGGAGTGATAAAGCAATGATTTTATGGATTAATTTCCTCTTAATCTCATTTAGCTGTCACTCACTTTCTACCTTCTCTCATCTTCCTCTCTCTTCCTCTGATATCGATGCAGGGGTTAAAAAAAAACCCCGGAAAACTGTGAGAGCAACAAGGAACAGTCATTTCTTCCAGACAGACCCTGTGTCACTTTCATAAATCAAGCCCAGCCAGATGGCCGTGTATTGGGTTGCATTATTTTAAACACCAAATCGTACTAAAAATCACAATCATTTTGATTTGTGAAATCTGAAAAAGGCCATATTTATTAAACAGAGAGAAGGGAAAAAATTGAAAACAAGAAACAACAATTTACTTTTCTTCGCCTTCTTGTTTCCTATTTCTCTTGTTATTGTAATCTCTCAGCCCGGCAAATTTACAACCTGGAGTGGGGGTCGGGGGTGGGAACAAACTTCATTTTTTTTGAGGGGCTACTGGGGCAAGCAAAGCAGGCCTCGTGAGAAAGCTGAGGACTGGGTGAGGTGGTTTTTATATGGTGGCTACTACTGGCACGTGAGATGAAACCCTATTTTCTCTACAGGAATGGTAGTGGTTGATTAGACTGAGAATGGGTCCATTTAAAATTTTAGGAGGTATTTGCTTACTCGATTTGGCTGACAACAAAAGAACTAACATTAGATTTCACACTGTTTTCTATTAAAAAGCAACCTTTGCTGATTACTTTGGAAGGATCCCAGATTTAGGGGTAGCAGAGTAACTTTTGATTGGAGAAGATGGGAAAGAAAGCCCATTTTATTTCATCATTTTGCGTTTTTAAAAGTGAGCTCATGCTTGCACTCCATATTTTTGTTTTAAATCAACCCTTTGAATGTATTTACAAAATGAAATTCATGGCTGAAAAACAAAAGAGGGCAGCTATAACTGAGAGGTTTTGTGCTAAGGCTTATATTGTTACACATGTAAATAATGAAAATATTGTTATATATCACCAGATCTTTTTAATGAATTTGGTCATTGTGTTCCTTTGCAGCGCAAGTGTCTTGTGCTTCGTAAAGTGCCCATTTGTTTCCTCCATTTCAATCCATCCCCTCCTCCCCTTCCAACCCAAAGGAAAGTGACAAAGTTCTGTTCCATCAATCTGACTAATCCTGAGCTAGGCCCATTTATAGTTTGCAGTGTCCTGTGGTTCCTGATCAGTTGTCCAAGCCCCTGTCACCTCATTCACCCAACCATCTTCCTGCAAGTCTGGGCGATAAATCATTCAAGGTGTATTTAAAATAGTCACTTTGCTGTTGTTGCTCTGCCTTTTTTTTTTTTTTTAAGTACTTAGCCAAGGACTACTTCTTTGTTCCAAAATAGAACTGTTCATTATTGATCTTAGAGATTCCCTCTGCTTCCCTGTAGCCTCCAGTGTTTGCTTATTACCATGCTCATAATCTGTTTTGTATGAATGGTTTTCAACATTCAGAGAATAATTGGTTCTAATATTAAATGCAGTATATACTATTGATAGTTTTATCGATAAGTGTAATATTTTAAATAATTTTAACAATTAAATTTGTTTTTTAAATTATATATTTGTAAAGTATTTATCCTGTTGGAAGCAACAATATATTGTTGTATTTATTCGTTTATTTTTGTAATAAATGATCAACCTCTTCAAGCTAAATCAAAAATGACACTTTTATATATTTATACAAAATGCATTTTAAGATATGGGCATATTTGCACCAATTTGTATGTAAATAGAGTAAGAGCCATCAATAACTTGTAGCTTTCAGAACTAAATTGAAGGAAGAAACATTCTCTCCACATGGAGTTTAGTTTGCCCAAGTTCCAGGGTAATTAATCAAACTCTAAAATGGATGCAACAAGTATTGGCACTGGATGCAGACTTGAAATTAATTATTTAGGAGGTGGACCTGGTTTTTTTCAAGGCAGAAGGATAGCAATGAAAGAATTCTCTTCTTTCATGAAATGCACGTGGCTGACTGGACTGATTACGAGAGATGCTATGTATCAGTGATAAAAACCCCATACCTGGCTGTGCTCAGACATCTATGCTGGGAGAAAGGTGTTGAGAGTTAAGACTTGGAGGCTATCAGTGACTCAGAAGCAAGGTGATTGGAAAGAAAGAGTTGTGTTATGTTTGTTTTCCAAAAATAGCTCTTCCTGAAACGGCTGAGTGAAGAACCTCTCTCTGCTAGTCCTGTTTCTGACAGCATGAGCAATCAGTACAGGTGTTGCTGTTGCTGATGTTGGGAAGAGTGAGGCGCGTCACAAATGCGGGGGCCACTTCTCCAGCTCTCGGGGTTTTGTAGGTCACTTGGTCATCTCAGTTCCTCAAGGCGGCTCTTCCGAGGGCCTGAAGGTCACCCACGTGACCTCCCGGCTGCTGGAGCCCCACCGTGGGCTTGATCTTGATTTTAACAAGGAAATCGGAGGGCTCTGGGTTTGCCTGAACTTTCCAGTCTAGGAAAGGAAACAGTGCGGAGGCTGG